ATGTTTAGGTTCTAGATTCTCATTTCCTTTCCTTAGTTAGCTGCTCTTAATGCTAGATCTTTGCACATCACTCTGATCTAGACCTTAAGCATTTCTCTACCCACAAGGTGTTTGATGAAATGTCTGAAAGAGCTAACTTAAGGGTTCAAGCGTTTTTTCATCATGGGAATGATTGTTAGATGCATGAATGACATTAGAACTGTTTCTTAATGCTCAGTGATTCATATTTCACAAATGATGATTTGGTTTGAAAATTGATTAGTGTAGAGGTTAATGCCTTCATGAGAGGATTAATCTAGTTTAGAGTTCTAAGTTAATTGGTTTTGAGATCATGTGAATACTTGTTGCTTCTTTCTGTGTAAGATTCAGTCCTCTCTTTAGTAGAAACCGTTTGGTCATAATTAGACTTGATACTCTATGCTTGTTGATTGCTTGATCTTGCTTAAGGTGAATTAATCTTGATTAAGTGGTTTACAAAAGGATTATTGTCATGGGAATGAATTAATCTATCTTTGAAGTCTAGACTAAAGAGTAACAAGCATTGTATTTTGTTCTTAGCATCATGAATCAATATCTAAAGCACCCTAATCAATGATCACATCTAGAAGTTTAGCTTTCATCATCTTTATTATCATCATCATCTTGTTTAGCTTGCTTTGTTTACTTCTTTATCATTGTTTGTTTGTTTCTTGTTTATGCTTTCATTAGTTACTTGTCACCAAGCCTTTCTTGTCTCACTTGACTTAAGAACTTATCTTATAAACTAGTGCCTAACTACCACACATATGGATTGACACCCTTTATACTACTTTGACAAGGGGATTGATAACCCTTTCTAAGAGCCTTAAAACTCTTAGCTATCAATTGGTTCAAATGTTTTGCGGTAAGCTAATTAAAATTATGCATTATATTATTACTTTTTATCTTTTAAAATAATTACTAACTCTTTTTTTGTAGCAAAACTGGAATTGGGAAACTTCCGCACACGAAAGTGTGAAGACGGCCTTCAGAGAGAAGGTCAAGTTCCTGCTCAACAACACTGTTTCCGACCGGAAGCAGAAGTGGGAGGTCGACGGTGACAACGCAAAGCCGGCTCCAATGGCCGATCACGTCCGGGAGGGTCTGGTGCGCCATTGGTCGACCCCACACAACCAGACCTAGTTTGTTTAATTTGTATTCTACATCCAAGTTTGTTTAATTTGTAAATTAAATTAATATGTGTCTATAATATAATAATTTGAAGTACAAAACTAATAAATTCTTCAATTTCAGGAATGCTGTAGACGATGCGGAAAATCCAAAGAACGTCCCGCAAACTTCCGGCCAGGTTCCTTTCGCCGAGAGACGTCTTATGATGGTAAGTTTTAAATAACAAGTTTTGTTTTTCAGTTAATCTGTAATTTGTTTTATTAATAATTTTGAATTGATTTTGTAGGTCGAAGAAAATGGGGGAGAACTTCCTCCGATGACAAAGGTCTTCGCCGAGACCCACAAGAAGAAGAACGGCGAATTCACGGATCCTCGGGCGGAGGCGATCTACAACGCAGCTTGTGATAGGATCAATGAGCGGCAGATGCAGCTCACGCAGCAGGCACCTCCGACGTCTCCCGGAGGTAGCTCGGTCCAATCTACACCGACCTTGACGCTGGCAGAGATGGACAGATCTTCGAAGATGTAGGCTAATTACTTTATTTTTTCCTACTTAGTTTTTAACTATATAGGTTTTACTTATGTTTTCAATATTTTTCCAGGTTGCTCCTCGGAAGAAGGGCAGAGTTTTTAGAGATGGGATCCATCCGTGATACCCCGATTGCTACGGCAACTGGTCATGTCCGGGCAAAGGATCCAGTCGTTATCCGCCAAGAACTCCACCAGATGCGGACACAATACGAGACGAAGATCGACCAGTTGTACGGTCTCTTCGACATTATCCACAACCCGTTGCTCCAGGCACAGTTGGACAGGTTGCGGGCAATTGGAGTGGTCGGCGCATCTTCTTCATTCTCTAGGAGGCAACCACCGGAGCAGACGGACAAGGAGATGTTCCAGTCTCTCGGGGTTGATCCTCCTAGAGCTGGGGATCAGGCGCCGGAAATCTCCAACCGAAGAGCCGGCAAGGAACATGTCCAAGACGGGAATCCGGAGCAGCACGATGCGAGGATAGACGACATTAGTGTAGATTTAGTTCTTTGATAGGTTTTTTTTTGTAAATAATATAATTTTATTATTTTGAATTTTAATTAAAATTTCAATATTAATTTTTTTTCAATTAAATTTTTAATTCGTATTAAATTTTTTTAAAAAAAAAATTTTCATTTTAACAAATCAACGTATAATCGGCATAATATATTTATTATTTATTTAATAAGTCGTCGTAAATTCGTCGTAAAACAATACAACCCATTTCAAAGATATATATATATATATTCGTTCGTATATTATACGACGAAGATACATCAGTTTTTACGACGGTTTTACGTCGAAAAGAATGAAAAAAAATACGACTGAATTACAACGATATTTTCATCGTATATTCATCGTATATTATACGACGAACCTACGTCGGTTATTTACGAAGATTTTACGACGTTTACGCTGAAAGCCAAAACAAGGCAAATCGATGTAAAGTCGTCGTAATTGTTATGATGCCTTTACGACGTCTTTCTTACGACGATTTTACGACAATTTTAAACCGTCCTAGATTTTATGATGATTTTATGATGAAATATCTTTTACGACAATGCATTTACAACGGTTTAGAAACCGTCGCAAGTTCGTCGTAATAGCGGTTTTACAACGAACTTACGACGGTTTCGGCAGTTGTAAAAAGGTGTTTTTTTGTAGTGTATGAATTATTTGATTAAATTTATATACCCAAAAATATTAAATATATTATGGAATTTCAGGTATCACGGGTATAATTTTATAGTTCTAAAAAGGATTTTGAGTAAATATTATTGGTATATTTTCTTTATTTTTTTCAGTTGTAAGATATATTTTTGGATTTTGGATATATTTTTGACATTTCAAGTATAATTTAAGCATTTTGGGTATTTGGTTAAAATAAATACCAGTCTTGAGGATACTATTTGGGATCCGGTATTCAATCCGGAATCCGCTGCAATTCGATCCAAAACAAGATATCCAAGTAGTTCGGATACACATCCAGATAGTAAAATAATGTATCTGATGGAGCCGAATACAGATTCAGATAATAGTAAAATAATGTATCCGGGATCCGGTATCTGATAACACCATATTTATACATATTTTCACCATGGATTTCAAATACTTAAAGATTTTAATCAGTTTTAGGAAATTTTATTATGATTTCTATGTATTTGTGGTTTCAAGGCTTTTTTCAGGAAACTTAAGAAAAATGATGGCAAAATGGAAGAAATCCACATTTTTAGCTCAGAGTCAGACCGTCAGAATTTCAGCCTCAAATGAAGACTTTCTCACCGTCTGATCCAGCTCAAATTTGGAGAAAATCAAGAGGAGAGAACCAGCTTTCCATAACATTTTATATAACAAAGATCCAACGGTGCAATCAAAAGATACATGGAGAACAAGTTGACCCAGTTTACTGGTCCCGGGAGACTCTCACCCGCGGCAAAAGCATGTTTTAACTGCCCTGGAAAACTCTCACCCCCGGTGGACCTTAGGACAAGCCACAAGGCCCAACATCAAAGCCCACTTCGCCATTCCTCTTCAGAGAAACCCTAAATGAGACCTAGAAAACCTTAAGACCTATAAATACATTGTTTAGCAGTCCTAAACGGGTGTGTGCTCTTGTAATGAGATTTTGAGCCACCAAATCTGTTTTTCTAGGGTTAGGCAATGGAGATGGGGATTCTTCCCCAAATCCATTGTTCTTTGTCCTTTATATTCTACTAACTTTTCTGTTTCATTCTTTTTGCATTTTTCTATGTCTTGTATCATTTCTTGCATCATGTAGATCTGTCCTAGAGAGTCAAGTTGTTTTAAGAGTCATAGATGAGCATATATATTGATTAGGATTTCTAAGTTTCTAGACCATATTCTGGATCTCATCTCTTCTAAGTTATTCATAATGCATGAGAGTAGATTCATGACCTATTATTTGAGCCTAGGATCAATCAGAGCCACGAAAGTGTTGTATCAGATCATCCATACCTAGCTTCAGAAGAACATAGCCGCTATAGGAGTCGAAAGATACCTATAGAGAATATGTGAGCAGACGAATTCAATGTCTAATGCATGATCTTATTTCTGGCATGAGAGCGAGAGTTAATTGTCAGATCTAAGTGATTAGTTGATTAGGATGACGAGAGTTGGTTAATCATACATATGTCTATTCTAGTTCCATGCAGATTCCCAGAAACATATGAAGATAAATCGCCTGGAAGCTAATTGGAAATGCCACCATACATCGATTAGAGTAAACCGGAGAATTCTAAATCGCCACCTATGAGTTTTAGATCTATAGTTTGAGTCGATATGCTTGAGATATTCTTTTAACAATTCATCCTGCATTGCATTTTATTTCTTGTGAATATTAGATTTGGTTTAGTTTAGGATTCTTAACCAAAAACCCCAAAACTTTTATTGGTTTATGACTTTCCTTACTTCCCAGTTTGTTGTTTCTTGCAGATTAGACATCTTTCCTGTGGATCGACACCCTAAGTTCTACAATGTACATCTGTGCACTTTCAGATTTTAGTGTTTTATAAATTTAAAACTTTCTTTATGGACCAATGGGCTTGTATGAAAAACAACCCTAGGCCTGTAGCACATCAAAGTTTTTGGCGCCGTTGCCGGTGAGGTTCTTAGTCGCTGGAGGTCTAAACCTAGGAGGTTGAAGCCGCAGAAGACTATATATATGTCAAGTTTCTTCCAAAACATCATAGGAAGTAACCTAAACTCATAAACACCCTAACTTTTTATTTTTCTGCTTATTATTTCTTCTGTTTGCCCTAGTTTCAGAAATCTTTGAAGCATGGATCATCCAAGAAGAAACCCTACCCCTGAGCGAAGGTTTTGCAACCTGTGTGAAGCTCCCTGTGCATGTGAATCACCTTCCAGGCGTGATTCCAATCATCTAGTTTGGCCAGATCATCCGAACCACAACCATGGAGACTCGCGACCTCCACACCATCGAGATGAGCCTTATTCGCCTCACTTGGCGAACCGTCGACCATCTCATCCTCTTCCTCATCAGATTCAGCACCAGGAAACTGAAGCTGATCTATTTAGGCTCCAACTAGATGGATTAGACACTACACTGAATGATTTTCTTGATCTACAAGTCATTGCTGAATCTAACATTTGTTTGAAACTGGAATCGATGTCCTCTGATTTTAACAGGAAGCTCGAGTCTCTCTCTAATCGTTTGGAGACTCTGGAGGAACAAAAGCTCAAGGATAATGTAATTATATAGCAGAGACTTAAAGATGTTTAAGAAGGAGAGGCAAAGAGTGCAATTGCTCTCCATCGTGCACTTAAGGAACGAAGAGGCTGCAATGTCTTGATCAAAGACTTGGAGGGAGATTTCAAAGACAGCAAGTGGTACTCTGGTGGAGACAAGATAGAGATGAGTGAAGAGATGGAAAAGATCACAAACAAGACAGAAGAGCTTGATGCTACTTTAGACAAAGTTGTCTATGCTTTAGATAAAGTAGAAGATAAAGTTGAAAAACTTTCTAAAGATCATAAGGAGTATGATCTGAACTCTGGAATCAATGACTTGGATACCCAAGACGTGCCTGGCAACCACTGGAAGCAAAAAAACAAAAATGGAGAAGAAGAGATTGAAGAAGCAAGCATGGAGAGCCGGAGGAAGCTGACCGCGGCTGCGAGCACTTCACCCGCGGCCAGAGTCACTTCCACCACAGTGGAGCATGATTTCTAAGATTAGGAGAACTTCTAACCTCTTTCTGAAGCTTGTTCATCAGAAATCCGACCACTTGTGACGAGACCTAGGTTGTTTGATCAAGCTGTCTTCTCAATCAGTGCACAAGCATCAAAAGAAAAGGAGGAATCCAACACTTATGCATCTTGCAACATGGTTTACACTTGTGACAATGAGCTTCAAGAGCAATTCTCAGAAGATGAAGAGTATGGTTTGTTTATTGAAGATCCAAACCCAAGGGACAATTCATCTGATGACAACTCAGAACCAATAACCAAGAGCATATCCAGAGAGAGACTGATTGAATTCAACAATTTTGTGAAGTCCATTCCTCTCTACCATGGGTTCGATGACATCTGGAAGCAAGGCTGCCTTCAAGTTTTCTTCAGATACAACAAGGAGACTAAGGAGAACATCTACACTTATTTCAGAAGAGCCAGGTATCTATATTTTCCTAGATCATCACCTGATGCAACTGTTTACAGGATCCATCTCAAAGATCCCCAAGAAGCTAGTGACTACACAACCAATATCAGCAAAGAAGCACTTGAAGAGTTCAATCAAGTAGTTCAGAGCCTGCCAGAAACAATTTCATTTGCCAAAGCATGTAGAGATTACATGATCGGCCACTTCTTTTGTGACAGCAAAGAGTCTATCCAAGAGATGAAAGACTTGTTCACACACGCCCAATAAGGTAGACCAGTTCGAATTCTGCACAAAGTTCAAGACAAAGGTCAATTTCTTATCTCTTGTGACATTAGAGGTGAAAGATTCCTCAATATTCTTTGTGATTCTTGAGCTTGCATAAACATGATGCCCAAAGCTACTGCTTTGAGACTTGGCATTGAGCACAATTCAAGTACCAGGAAAAAGATTAGCTTAGCAGATGACTCAAGTGCAACACCAAGAGGGATAGCCCGAGACATTCCTCTAAGGATTTGAGATTGCATAACACATGTTGATTTATACATAGTGAAGACCAAAGATGACTCATATCCAGTTATCCTTGGATGACCTTTCTTAGCAACTGCTGGAGCCATCATGGATTGGCCCAACATGAGAGTTTCTTTTGCCAATATTGACAAGGACATCTTCTATGAAGCTACACCACTAAAGAGCAAAGGAGGAGAGCATAAAGCCCATGCATTTGAACCAGAAGAACTCTGGAGTGATGAAGAACTTGCAAGACAGACCATGAGGATTTCGAAAGGACTTGTCTTAGGAAAAGATCTTATTTGAACTAAGCCTTTTCTTTGCAAAGTCTAGCTAAGGACTATAAACCAAAGCGTTTGATAGGAGGCAACCTATCTAGGTATGTACTTATTTGTTTCTGTTAAATTTTCTTTTTTATTAAAGTTTTGTGTTTTCTTATTTTAGATAGGCCTTAGTATACCATAAAAAAAAAAGAAGAAAGAAGAAAGAGCTGACCGCGGCCAAAGGAGGTTCAGCCGCGGCCACAAAGCTTTGAACCGCGACCAGCACATGTCCTACCAAGGCCAGGACGTCTTGATCTGCGGCCAGCACCATTCGGCCACCCTTGGCCACTTCCACCTCTACCTTGATTCAAATCAATCCAAGTTTGATCAAGAACCACCTCACAATCTATCACCAACACCAGGTAAGTTTTCTTTTCCTTAATCTATTTAAATTCTTCACATACTCTATTTCTCATCATTGCCTAATTTATTTCACACTGGGGGCGCAGTGTGATTTAAGTCTGGGGGAGGATTTTATCCCTTTCTAACCACCTTTTCTTGCATGAGCTTTTGCATTCTGCATTTTTCTTTAAATTTTTTTCAATTTTTTTTTAGGTTTTTCTTAAAACTTTTCACAAGTCTTTTGAGTTTGAAAAAGTGTTTTCAAAATTCAAATAAAATTTGAGGGAATAATGACAAAATCAATGATGATAACCAACATTTTTGTTTTTACACCAATCATTCATAAAAAGCTCTTTCAAGGTTTAGTATTCCCTCCGTTTTTTATTAATTGTCGTTTTAGAGAAATTTTGTTTGTTTTAAATTAGTTGTCGTTTTCAGTTTTCAATGCAACATTTATTAGGATTTTATTTTTTAAGATTATTTTTACTATGCAATTTGTTTTATTATTGGTTGAATTGTGTTTAAATAGATAATTAATAATGTTTTTATATTGAAAAACTAATACAATTAATATTTTCTTAATCTGTGTGCATAACCTTAAAACGACAACTAAAAATAAATCCGGAGGGAGTACTAGACTAGGCGGTAGCTAGAGTACTTACACTACGAAATCCCACCAGAGGACTTCTATTCATGAAGATCTTTTCTGACAGGAAATACTAGCTCATTTTACTTGGACTTAATCTTGACATCTAATTTTCTCATCAATGGTTTTAAAAGGCATCATGATATACATCTAGGACATCTTTACACTATTGTTACCACTCTTTGTTGTCCTAGATGGCCAGTTCATCTTTAGCTGGTACCACACCCTTAACCCAGACCCTCATGTTCTAACCTCCTGCATTCTTTTAAATCTAATTTGACAGATATGTGAAAAAATGTCGGTGAGCGAGGAACAACATAGTTTTCAGTCACTCAAGAGAAAGACTGAAAGAGACCAGAAGGGAGCGTGCCAGAAATCTTATGATGCCTCAGAAAAGCTCATTCTTATAGGTAAATTTCATGCGCCCTAAGACTCTAAGTCAAAAGGCGGTTTCTTCTTTTCGAAAAAAAACAAAAAAAGGGAAAAAGAAAGAAAGGAAAGGAAACAAAGAGCCTAAAGAGTCTTAGAAGCCGAAATCATTTGAGCCAAGGCAATAGGTATTCACCTAAGGAATTATGGATTCACAACCTGGACAAAAATCCAAGTCTGGAAGAGTTATAAGGAAAACCTGAAGAAAGGAGATCAGAAATCTTAAATCAAGGAGAATGTGACTGAAAACTGTGGAGGCATTTACAGTTCCATCCTCTCTTACTGTTTTGCATAATGTCCTGTCTCTCCAGAAAAAGGTAATCCTAAACACATCAAGCCTTACCATTAAAAAGCCTTTTGATACCTGACCTTGAATGCCTTTTTTAATATCCTTTTGATGAGAATCACTGAAACCTTTAATGAATGTTAAGAGCTAGTTGACTGGAAGTTAGTTCTAAGTGTGTGGATTTTCGCATGACGGATTAACGGACAAGTTATGTTTGTATTTTGGTGAGAATTTTCTAGACTTGATCTGATTGATCCATTGCCCATATTAAGTTCTAGAAGTATGGTTGCTGATATTTTTGAATTCCCTCTCATTTTTGTTGAATGATATTTTTCTAGATTTGATCTTGTTTTGTTTGAGGACAAACAAAGTCTTAAGTCTGGGGGAGTTGATAACACCGTATTTGTACCCATTTTCACCATTGATTTCAAATACTTTTTCAAAGGTTTTAATCAGTTTTAGGAACTTTTATTATGATTTCTATGTATTTGTGGTTTTAAGGCTCTTTTCAGGAAACTTAGGAAAAATGATGGCAAAATGGAAGAAATCCACATTTTTAGCTCAGAGTCAGACCGTCAGAAGTTACGCCTCAAATGAAGACTTTTTTCACACTCCGATCCAGCTCAAATTTGGAGACAATCAAGAGGAGACAACCAGGTTTCCATATCACTTTACATCACAAAGATCCAACGGTCCAATCAAAAGATACATAAAGAACAATTTGACACAGTTTACCGGTCCCGGAAGACTCTCACCTGCGGCAAAAACATGTTTTACCTGTCCTGGTAGACTCTCACCCCCGGTGGACCTTAGGACGAGCCACAAGGCCCAACATCAAAGCCCACTTTGCCATTCCTCTTCAGAGAAGCCCTAAATGAGACCTGGAAGACCTTAGGACCTATAAATACATTGTTTAGCAGTCCTAAACGAGTGTGTGCTCCTGTAATGAGATTTTGAGCCACCAAACTCTGTTTTTCTAGGGTTAGGCGATGGAGATGGGGATTCTTTCCCAGATCCATTGTTCTTTCTCCTTTCTATTCTACTAACTTTTCTGTTTTATTCTTTTTGCATTTTTCTATGTTTTTTATTATTCCTTGCATCATGTAGATCTGTCCCATAGAGTCAAGTTGTTTTAACAGTCATCGATGAGCATATATATTGATTAGGATTTCTAAGTTTCTAGACCATATTCTGGATCTCATCTCTTCTAAGTTATTCATAATGCATGAGTGTAGATTCATGACCTATTCTCTGAGCCTAGGATCGATCAGAGCCACAAGAGTGTTGTATCAGATCATCCATACCTAGCTTCAGAATAGCATAGTTGCTATAGGAGTCGATAGCTACCTATAGAAAGATGTGAGCAGACGAATTCAAT